CATCGACCACATAGCTCATGAGCTGAAGAAAAAAATGGCAAAAGACATTACAGAAAACCAAAGAAAACTCTGTGTTTTGGTCGATGAATCTACCACTATTAGTGGTAAAACGGTGCTTGTTGTGTGTCTACGCTCAGCATTAGCTGATGCTGAGCCCGAAACGTTTTTTTGGGAGCTGATCGAGTTGGATGGAACAACGGCTGATGACATCACAAAGGCGTTAATGGAGTGTCTTGGAAGAGATTTTAACGAGGACTTTTTAGGTCAGTGTTTCGTTTCTTTTGCATGTGATGGGGCTTCAGTCATGCTAGGGAAGAGAACAGGCGTTGCTACCCAGTTGTGTAGTAAATTCCCAAGCCTGTTTGTGTGGCACTGCTCCAATCATCGTCTAGAGCTGGCAGTTGGGGATGTGGTCAAGGAGGTCTCAGGGCTCAATCATTTCCAGATCTTTTTTGACAAACTCTATTCCTTGTTCCCTGCCTCCCCCAAAAATCAGAGGCAGTTAGCGCAGTGTGCGCAAGCAGTCGGACAGCGTCTCCTGGTGATAGGGCGTGTTTTGTCCATCCGCTGGGTGGCTTCAAGTGAAAGGAGCGTCAGAGCAGTCTGGGAAAACTACCGAGTGCTTCATGATCACTTCACAAATGCTGCAAACGACACGAGCAGGGATTCCAGAGACAGAGCAAAGTACAAGGGCCTGGATGATGTGCTCACATCTGCAACGTTTGTCAGCAATCTGGGACTGATGTACGATGCGCTCACAGAGCTCAGCGACCTCTCTCGGCAACTCCAAAAAAGAGAGATGACACTGCCTACAGCAGATAGGCTCTTAACTCGAGAAATACGAGTTTTTGAATCCATGGTCACCATGCCTGGCCCACACATGACTACAGTTCATACAGCTCTAGCTGAGAAGTCCTTCAAGGGTGTTGCCCTGCGTGAGAATGGCAGGCTTGTACAGATTCATGCAGGTCAGTTTTTCCGCAGTATGGTAGACACAGACACAGAATGACTTCCACAACCTCCTCTCATGTCAGCACAAGAGAAATCCCATTACATGGCCGGGAGGCCCGGGACAATCAGCTAATCCAGGACATGAAAGTTATCCATCCTGGAAGTTGGCCTGAAGAGGAGTTAGACGTACAGTATGGGGACGTAGAGGTGCTACGTTTGTGCGAAGTGCTGAAAGTGGACAGAAGAGAGACTGTTCAGGGCTTTCGCAAATACAAGGAAACCAGGGCATCCCGTACACCTGCTGCCATGGAGCCTCTACTGAAAGCAGTCCGAACCATCGCTGTCTCCACTAGTGAGTGTGAGCGGGCATTCAGCTGCATGAACGATATCCTTACTGCAAAAAGGAATGCTCTCTCTGTCAGCCGACTGTCCAGCCTGGTTTTCATTAAATGTAATGGACCATCACTAGGACAGTTCAATCCGGAACAGTATGTGAGGTCCTGGCTGGCAAAGGGAAGGAGAAGTGCTGATGAAAGAGCCTGTCCAGCTCCAGCCCCTGATACTGATGTCCCCAAGGCCTTCTGGAGCCTTTTCTAACAATGTGAAGTATATTGCAAAGCAGCTCACCCAGTGAGAAGACTTTTGGCATAATGTGCCGATTTGTACAGATCCTGGAGATAGAAGGACTTCAGACCAACCAGGGAGTTATCTGATCAGCTTGGTGTTCAATGTAACTCTTTACCATGGCTCAGACTTTGTTACTTGCAGTTACAGTTTCTCATTTTAGATTGTGCAAATGTTGCATTTGTTTTTACATGTTCTTTGTTCATGCTCTTTATCATTTTTCTGAGTTGGAAAGTTAGATTGCATCATAGTTTACTTTATACATATTTGTATTCTTCAGTGGTGAAGTATATTGCAAAGCAGCTCAGCCATGTGAGAAGACTTTTGGCACTTTTTCGTTTTTCGTTTTCTGAGTTGAAAAGTTAGATTGCATTCAAAATGTACAGAAATACTTAATTTTGTTAAAGCTTTTTATAAAAAATGCTTCTGACCAGAGCTTTGTTTCCTTGTCATTAATGTTGAACACCACCAGAGGGGCTCTCACCTGAAAGGTCTCTGCTTCATGTGTCTTCAGCAGAAGATCTAGACTTTGATTGCTATATTTTCAGTTAATATTGACCTTACTGAGCTTTAGCCATATCCGCTGCCTATCATAAAAAATGTTAAGTACAGTGAACCTTTCTAAAATATACAGTAGTAAAGAGACAAACCCACCAGCATTATAGTAGCCAAATTCTTGTTTATGGGCTGTATATATAAAATTGACTTGAAAAAGTTGCTGATTTTAGAGTACTGGCACCTTTTTCATTCCAATTCAAGCACTGGTATGGGCCTCATACAGTGTTAAAATGACGAGGACATCACACACGACCTCTCGGATGAGCTTCCGCCCCCAAAGATAAGAAACATTGATGCAAATCTTATTTCTTGCACGGCTGTTGTGAGACAATAACTTGTATCCTCAATGCATAACATGCATTTTCATTTCCTTCGTCTATTGTTTTTAAATGACTTACGAAATGTATTTAGAAAGCTTAGAAATATACTTATTACCTTAAGAATATTTGTATTTACTCCCTGTTGTTTATTCTCTCAAATTCGTTCACATCTTGCCTGTTTATGCACTTGTTGACGACAACAAAGTTCGACTAACAATGAATTATCTGGAATTTGCAATGCTTTTCTAGTTACTCACAGGTGTAAACTATACAGCTGCACGCTAATTGCTATCATCACAGGCTGACTTTATGTGTAAATCTAGAAGTGATATCAGTCAGGATCAAATCCTATGTGTAGCAACGTTATGCATTTTACCGATGCTGACAAACTACTGCGTGTATCAGCGCTGGCGTGTATCAACTAATCATTGATATAATATAATTACTTAGTATTTCTGGTGGTCATTTTTTGACTGCTGTGTCTTTAAATCCCCCATGATCCTTCGCGGTTTTTGTTGGAACGTTGTGATTTAAAAACTAGCTGCTTATAAACTCAATAATTGTATGCGACAACTACCTGCAGCATTTTACAAGAGTATAATTATTACATACATTATAGATCCAGTTCCAAATATAGTGACACCGTGACTGTAAGTACCTGATATGTGTCGTCCTACTTATTCTTCCCGCCCCCCTTTTGCATTCGGGCATTCAGAAGGCTTGCTATCTGGGCTACTAGCTGGGAACTTGTTTCTCCACTTCGCCCAGGGGAAAGTCCCCGGACATATGGCAGAGAGTGTCCTGGTTGAAATCAGTATCGGCTTGCGCTTACCGTTCATTAGCTGAGACGTTCTCGCGAACAGAGCTTGGTGATCGCGAGCCGACTTTGTCAGCGTTACTAGTAATGCAAGTGAGCTGAAACTCACGCGGAAACAGAACGGGGCTCATTCTCGGAATGTCACATCTTTTCAGATTTTCACCTCTGAAAGACAGTGAATATAAGTACAAAAGTATAAGCATGCAAATAAGCATGCACATATACTTAATGTGTAAGTAAAATAACTACGCTAATTGGCCCTTTTCAAAAATAATATATTACGTGTTGTTTATTATTCAAATCATTAATCAAAGTAACGAAAGGTATTACAAAAATATAGTGGAGTAAAGTTACACAATTGATCTATTTTAATGTTCTTAGTTACTTTATACCACTGCATTTTTTACAACAATTTTAGATAATCATAGACTTCAAGTAGCCTATATAAGGCTAGAATTCCCATACAACCCATAATGTAATTTTAAACAGGGGCAATCATAACAACTTTAAGATTTCTATCATTTATTTGGAAATGACTTAAATCAATAATTACTTATAGGCTTACTAATGGCATTGCATTGATCTACAACCTAATTACAACTGGGTCTCTAGAAAACATTCACAAAATGATACAACGCAAACCCAATTTTTTTGAGTTTGAGAAATATTTGTATTTATACATAGACTTACTATTCTCCCTGTTGTGTATTACTGTAGTTTATATGTTGTAGTTTATGTAGTAGGATATTATGTAGTTGTGCATCGCCTTTAGTTTATATTTTAGGTTTATATATTAGGTTTAAATACCACAAGATGAATCCCTATAGTTCCAGAAACAAGTTTCCAACTTGAAACGTGTTTTTAGGTCGCCATCCAGTGGTTGAATATGTGACGTGCAGCCCAAGACAAGTGCCTGACATACATGTAGGGAAATTCACCTGACATTTTGCACTAAAACCTTAAATCTCTCAAAAGATGTCACAATCTTCTTCATCCTTTTTTTGTGAAGTGCTCCAAATATTATTTATTTTATCAATTGCTTGAACATTTTAACAGATCAAATCAAATATTAGAAGCTGAAGTGAAATAGTTATATTTCTATGTCTAATTGTTTAAATTAATCACTGCCCAAATTGCCCATCAAGATTTACCTCTTGAACAGACTTTTCTATACAGACCAGAATGTGACAGCATTGTAAATGAGATTTTATCTCAATGCTTTTTATCTGGTTAAATAAAAATAAAAATAAACAATTATGAAGCAGTATTGGTACACTTTCTTTGTTGTGCTGAGTAGGTTTGGACCTCTTTGAACACCTGGTGTCAATTTCACAATTCCACAATATGGTGGAAAAATCATCAGGTGATAGAGCGTCATTTGCCTTATCATCATTACTCAGCGTTGTCTGTCCTGAACATGGCCAGTGGGTATCCATTTTCTCTCTGGTGTTACCTTTCTGCACAACAGGGAGAACAAAGACACTATTTTCCCATGTTGACACCACTAGAGGGAGCGCCGGATCTACAGCATCCTGACTAATGCATTCTGACATGAGAACACAGACACAGGCACACATGGACATAGTGTTTACTACTGGATTAGCAGCAAACAAAAAGCTTACAGCATCACATGGTGGCCCCTCCAAATGGAGCCTGCCAGTAACCTACTTCCCCCTCTGAGCTATCCCATCATCCATTTGGAGTGGGCGTACTGTATAGGCTCAGGCAGCAGCAGCATCACAAAGGTTCAGCTCCTCCCTGCTGTATCCTGGAGACACAGAAGGAGGGAGGGAGAGGATCAGGGTCAGATGAATACCAGTGTGAGTGTGACGAAGGCAGCAAATGAAGAGGAGACTGTGTGTACCTGTGTGTGAGAGAGGACGAATCAGGGAGGGCTAGAGAGAGAGAGTTGGAGTGGGGTGGGGGGCATTGTGTGTGTGAAGGAGACAGAGAGGAAACCCAGACAGGAGGAGGAAGAGGACCTTAGAGGGAGGAAGGAAAAGGGGGGCACGAGGGAAAAAGACAAGACAAGAGGACCCAGATTAAGAAGGAAGATGGCTGAGCCGGAGCTGAAATCCAGGAGCAGCCGAGAGAGCGTTGCCAAGGCAGCGAGCCAGGAGAAGATAGGGGGTAGGTAGTGCATGCTCACACTCCTGTAGATACCACATGGTGCAGGGCGGCATTATGCCGCCATGCACCCTGATGCAAAAGTACCTTCAGATTGATGTGGCTATAGAGATGCATCAGGGTGATTTGGGTGTCTATGTGATGGTGAAAGGTGAGATAATGTGAGACGTTGTACACATATATACAGCTACTGTTTCCTGTCCTTTAATGAAAGTCTAAACACAATAAACTGCTTTTGGGTGTGTCTACCAGAACAGAGGGAGAGGTGAATAACGGCAATCACCTCAGCCAACAGGTTTTTTAACCTGTTTTTCAACAGTTCATGCCAGCAATGCACCCAAATTATTAAACAACAATGCCATATGCTTTGCTGCTTGACACATAAAGGAAATATTTCTGTTTTGTTTTTGTTTTCATATATGTTTGGTATTTCATTCTCCTAAATGTAACTGCTTAAAATATCTATATAAGAAATATTTCAAATAATACTTTTTCACTTTGATCATTCTCTTTCTTTTGTGATCTCTGGCAAAACTAAATGTTCATACCTCAGATGGGAAACTCTTGTCTGAACTTCTGGTTCTGCTGTCCTCTCTCCTCCAGCAGTTGAATCAGAACCAGACCAAGATGGTCTTATTGTGGAGCATCCAGCGTCTCCAACTACCCCCATGGTCCCTTCTCCCACTAGCCCTGCGAAAGACTCTGCCAAAGGGGAGAAGATCGTGCTCAAACGCAGCATCACCCTCTTCAATGGAGTGGGGATGATCATAGGCACCATCATCGGCTCTGGCATTTTCATCACTCCAACAGGCGTGGTCAAAGAGACCGGCTCAGCGGGGCTCTCCCTGATCGTCTGGTCTGTCTGTGGGGTGATCTCCACCATGGGCGCCCTGTGCTATGCCGAGCTGGGCACCACCATCACCAAGTCTGGGGGAGACTACACTTACATCCTGGAGGTGTACGGAGAACTGGCGGCTTTTCTTAAGCTGTGGGTGGAGATGCTCATCATCCGGCCCTCGTCCCAGTATGTGGTGTCGCTGGTGTTCGCCACCTACCTGCTGAAACCTCTGTACCCAAACTGCCCCGTGCCTGATAGTGCCGCCAAGCTCCTCGCCTGCTTGTGTCTAAGTGAGTGGGGGTTGCTGGCCTTTAATGTTCTAATTTTTATTTTATTTACAGATGACACATTCACATATTTTACTTTATTCCAGCTGTCTATTCCCCTAATGCCTTACTTGTATGTTTTTCTTTAGCCTCCCTGACGTTTGTAAACTGCATCAGTGTGAGAGCGGCTACCAAGGTGCAGGACTTGTTCACAGCCTCCAAACTGCTAGCCTTGATCATCATCATCCTCTTTGGCTTCATCCAGATTTCAACAGGTGAGTCCTACTTGGTCAAAGTCTACTAGACAGAAACACAGATGTTTAATGTGTCAAATGTTTCTTAAATAAAGATGTCAGGTCCATAAACCTGTGCTGTATATAGCATTCTGTGGCCATATACAAAACACACCTACAACAACAGCAGCGTTACATTACAAACTCATTCTATAACTTAAGTTGAAATTGTTTGGCAGCTGAGTTTTACATTTGAATCTTTTTCACTATTTGATATCATTTTAAATTTGAAGACTGACGTCTCGACAACGATGTTGACAAGTTGATGCTGAGTAAAATCTCCCACAAAACGTTATTGAAAACTAGCTGGCTTGGTTTCTCTTTTGTGTCAAAAAAACTAATGCTAAACACTACTAAACATAATGTGTATGTTTGATAAGGCTTCTGCCAGTATTATCATCATATTATATTAACCTTGGCCAAACAAAATACATGGGTAAACCCTTTTTTGAAACTGTTTTTCACACTCCAAACCATCTTCAATGGTTGAATAAGTGTGTTTTTGCCACTTCCTAACAAGCATCCAATATGAAAAGTGTGTGTTCCCCAGCATGCAGCTGTACACCTTGTCTTAAACCAACTCCCACTTCTTTTTATTACCATCAATACTGTTTGTAGGTTTTACCAAAGTATAGTTAACATCCGTTATTGTCTCAGAGTTTATTGGCGCTGCTGAAACCGAGGTTTATTTCTTTTGTCTCTAATGATCAACAAATTGTTGACTGACACTAATGAGCTCGACAGAGCAGACTGCCCTCCTTTCAGTTTGTTAGCACATCAGTTGCTGAGTCCGAACACAAGGCCTTCTGTCTGCAGCATGATGAGTCTGAGCAAGTGTGCAGCCAAGAAAATGTGTGTGCGTGGGTGTACTTTGAAGTTGAACGCTGATGAGCGTAGTTAATTTAATAAATATCTTGTCTGTACAATGTGAATACAGACAATTAGTAACACAACATTCTAAAAATATATATCCTCATGTAACAGAAATATTGGACGTTTTAGAAACATTAATGCTGCAAAAAAGAGGCAAGTGCTCTGATGAATGCAGTCAGTCATTGTCCTTCTCAATTTGAGCTGAATCTTCCATACCATAGCCCTAAACATGGAGGCTGTTGTGGAGCATTGCAAATCCATCTCGAACAGCAACAGATAGATGTGCTTTTCAAAACTGAGATAGCAAAGTAACTCTAGCTCCAGTCACGACATTCAAAATAAAACCGCGTGGCAATCGTCTGCTCCGTTTTCCATCTGCTGCCCCCCACTCTCTGCCTTTTTTTCCTTCAAGGCCACACCCACTCACATTGTGCTCCACACAGCGTTGCCATGGAAACTAGGCGGCGAAGCTTGCCGGCTTTCAGAGCACGGGAGGGAAGGACAGAGTGAAAAAATAATGTGTGTTTAATAGGCCACCCATAGTCATTACCATCTGAAAGCGACAGGTAGAGGAGATAACCATGCGATACCCACACGCACACGCACACACACACACACACACACACACACACACACACACGCACACGCACACACAGTACATCAAAGCAGATGTTCAAACCTGGAGGCAAGTGTTCCAAACTGCCTAGTTGAAAATGTCAAGCCTGTCAAAGGGCAGGCAGCTACAGCCTGGCCTTCATGCACGAATGAAATGAAGAAGCAGCAGCAGCCATGAGTAAGAATCCATTAAATGTCTATGAAGTCACACAGTTAGTTCATGAACGTATGCTGCAAATATAGAGAGAGTGACAGAGTTATGTTTCCCTTTCAGTTGTTTTAGATTCCTGTAATTCCTTTTCTGTGTGTGTGTGTGTGTGTGTGTGTGTGTGTGTGTGTGTGTGTGTGTGTGTGTGTGTGTGTGTGTGGTGTGTGTGTGTGTGTGTGTGGTGTGTGTGTGTGTGTGTGTGTGTGTGTGTGTGTGTGTGTGTGTGTGTGTGTGTGTGTGTGTGTGTGTGTGTGTGTGTGTGTGTGTGTGTGTGTGTGTGTGTGTGTGTGTGTGTGTGTGTGTGTGTGTAGGTGATGTGCCATACCTGACACTAGAGAAGTCATTTGAAGGCAGTAAACTAGGAGTGGACAACATTGTCTTGGCTCTGTACAGCGGTCTCTTTGCTTTTGGAGGCTGGTAAGGCATTTGCGACCTATTTCAAAATGTTTTACAGACTGGAAATAGTCAAGATTTATTTGCAGCAACTGTATACGGTGCAATACAGATTACAGTTATTCCAGTCTTTATCTAATCGCTGACATATTGTTGAACTCTTTGTATTTGTTTTTAGGAACTACCTGAATTACGTGACAGAGGAGATGATCGATCCAGAGAAGTAACATAAATGTTATGACGGTTGTTTTGAGCATTGTACATGCCAACCACATGACTTCCCTTATCCGTTACTGAGCTTGTTTACCATCAGTTGACTGCATGGAGATACAGTGTTCAAAATGAGTTTTTGTTGCAATCCAAAAGCAGCCTCAAAAACACATTTAGAGCTGAATAAACACATTTAAGTTGTAGTTTTGGATTGCATCAGAGTATTTAGATGTTCCAGTTGTTATGTATTGTGTTAAGTAATCTAGAACAGTGTTTTTCAAAGTGGGGGCCCCGACCCCCCGGGGGGCCGCCAGGGGGCGCCAGGGGGGTCACGCAAAGTTTGGGGAATTTTTTTATTTGTTAGATGTTATTAATAACTGCATATCTATCAATCTATGTGTCCTTTGATGCCTTTTAATATTTTTTATTTATTCATATTTTATTTTATTTTTTTGTTTTTAAATCACACGACCGCCCTTCAAGCCAATCAGAATCGAGCTGCCGCTACTGAGAGTGAAACTGAATCTGTATCAGTATCAGTATCTGCTCAGCTTTTGGAGCAAGTGAGAGCTAGTGAATATTTCACTCTGCAGCTGGATGAGAGCACGGATGTAGCAAATATTGTTGTTTATATATATGAATATAAATATGTTTATTGTTAATATTACTGTTGAATATTATATATAATATTATTAAGGCATAAGTAGCTTTCAAAAATGCTAAAAATATATGTTAATTGTTCATGTTCAAGATTATATAATATTATAAAGACAGAAATCACTTTAAAAATGCTTTAAAAATATGTTTACTGTTGATATTACTGTTTAATATTGTGGTAAGAATATTTATAACAGAAGACACAATGAATGTAATGAATGACAAACAAAAGATGAATACAAAAAATGTTTAGAACAATAACTGATTATTAATTATTAATACAAATATATATTAAGAAAATGTATTAAGCTGTATGATTAATTTGTCATATTTTCCATCATAATGTACTCATCATTTAAAAAAAATTGCAACAGGGGGGTCCCCGCCAGAGGATAATGCCATATGGCATGGCAAAAGTTTGGGAACCCCTGATCTAGAACACTGACTGTTGTAAAATAAAACATATTAATTACTATGGTCACATTTGCCAAACAATTCGACATAATTCAAAATATAAGAGATTGTTCCTCAAATTACCTATTGACCTTTCCCCCCAGGAACTTGCCCTTGTCCATCATCATATCGATGCCTATAGTGACGGTGGTGTACGTTCTGACCAACCTGGCCTACTTCACCACCATCTCCCCTGAACAAATGGTCGAGTCTGAGGCTGTTGCCGTGGTGAGAATCATGTCTCTTTCATAAAGTTCCCAAAGCAACAACTCAAAGCCACAGTTGCATCTTGTTGGTATGAGTAGTGTTTTCTCATTTATGTTGTTGTGCTTTTTGTCAGACTTTCGGGGAGTACCACCTTGGTGGGATGTCCTGGCTGATTCCTGTCTTTGTGGGACTGTCCTGCTTCGGAGCCGTTAACGGATCCCTTTTCACCTCAGCACGGTGAGTGTTTTCACAGAGAGCCGGGGTAAAGGTTAGGGTTTTCCCTTTAAGACTGCTCCTTTTCTCAGAAAAAGGAGGCGCCCCCTCACCCCCCTTAGTTTACTTGGTTAGTTTTGCTCATTTCCTGGAAGTCTTTGGGTTCATGATTATGTTATTTGATCCCATGGGACACAATAATTGAGCCAAGAATGCCGAATAGTACTGTTTGATGAAACTTCAGATTACAACAAGAAAAAGTCTGTTCCTGAAGTTTGGATAGTGAACTACTTTTAAATTCCTCATAACTTCTGTACCTCTGAACTTATTCTTTGACCAAATTCTACACATACACAATACTCTATCTATATGATCTTTTTACCAGGGAAATATGTTTTTGATTGAGCCTCCCTAGAAACTTCTTCGAGTCCCTCTGGGGACATTACATCATCTCAACAAAAGACTGCAACAGGTTAAGGCTCAATATTTGCTTTGCGGATTACATTTCAGTCGCAAATTGGTCTTTACAGGTTCAACACCCAATGTTAGAAGGATGTGCCGTTTCATATACATTGAGGATAAAACATGTTACATAGGCCAACTATTGCATCACAAAACAACCACTACAAAGCTTTCCCTCTTCCAGGTTGTTCTATGCTGGAGCTCGAGAGGGTCAGCTCCCTGCTGCTCTGGGATTGGTCCACACAGACGTCTTCACACCGGTGCCTTCCCTCATCTTCACAGTAAGACTCCTGCTACCCACAATAATTATCCCATGGTTACTCTTGTGTTTTTATCAAAGATCAAAATTTAGAAATTCTGGGTGTGAGAAACAACCTATAATGACATCCAATACGATTTAATTAAAGGTGGATCAAGCATCATTATTGTTTCTGACAGGTGTCCTCTAGTTAAATATGGTTAGTAGTTAGTTTTTTTTGTTGTTATTTGTTTTGAACACGATTATTTTAAGTTAAAACATCTGAAGTTCACAATGAAAGCATGTAGCTTATTTATATATATATATATACATTTATTTTGAGGAGCACAAGTTAAATGCATAACTAATACAATCTTGTCTTCCTTTTCCCTTGTATCAGTGTTTGCTGTCCATGATGTACGCCATCTCCAACGACATTTTCTCTGTCATCAACCTCTTCAGCTTCTTCACTTGGCTGTGTGTGGGTATGGCCATTGCCGGCATGCTCTGGCTGCGCTTTACCAAGCCCGACCTCAGAAGGCCCATCAAGGTAGAGTACCAACGTCTAAAAGGTTGTTTTGCATGTTGGTAAATGCTTGTTGCACTGGAGATTTTCAGGGGATTCTTTTTTAGAGGAATTGAGATTCACTGAGAGGTACACAAGTCAGGTAAGACCTTGGCTTTACCTCAACCTCAGCCTGTTTCTTTGTCGAAAGAAACAAAATATCTCCTGGTGTTATAGAGCATCCACTTTTCTTTCTTTTAAAGAAAGCACCATTGTTTCACTGCTCTTGTTATTATTTTGAAGAAGAACCATGCTTTGTTTTCAGAATAAGAGGGAGTGGGGTTTGGCTCTTTGTTTCTGTTTCATCATTGGAATATTACATTGGTTCTCTAGAGCCTTTCATCTTTGCTTTGAGCCTGAGCCATTTGATTTGAAGATAAACCTCTAACAAGGAATTACTATAGCTCGAAATATACTTAGTGTAGGCCTACCCAATTTTAAGTTATCCTCAAGCAGACTCGCACATTTACAATGTATAATATATAATTGCATTATAATTATTGAGGCATAAATGAATAACGATACATAATATTTTGTTGGTTATCATTTGTATTTTTTTTCTGTAGTAACAATTAACTTAAGTGTTCATATAGTTGTGTAAAGTGTTATAAATTGTACTAAGGAAGAAGTAGCATTAAATGGAAAATCTTAAGTAAGGTACCTCAAAATTGTACCAAAAAAGTACAGCACTTATGTAAATGTACTTAGTTACTTTTAACCACTGGTGTAAACTGAGGATAATTGAACACAAATGCCTCAATAAGCCAATAACTTAGATGGTTTCATCTATCATTATTGTATCACACCATCTCTTATATCTACAATACTCAGTATATAAAATGTATAGTGTTTTCTGGCTTTTAAGACATATATGCATTATTTATTTACAACTTATTGCTGTACATAACCAAAGGCATAATATTGTATGAACCAGGGACCTGCACAGGTACGGGCTATTGTTGCCGGGGCCCGTTTTGTCTGACCTGCCGCTCTGGAGAGAGTGAGAGTTGTTTTTTGTTTCTGTTTTGGCCGAATCAACATGATAAGCCCACAATTTGTATTGTAGCATCTCGCTGCGGGAAACATACCTTGTCAGCGCTGTCATCTGCCCCCAGTCATGTGACTTTGTTTACAATCCGACAGCTGAAAGCAAAGGAAAGCCCTCCGGCCTCATATGGCTATGGTGATCATACCAAATGCCTGCCTGGCTTTGGTGGCCAATCCCCGGGTCAATCTGTCCCCGGAAATGACCCCGTTTTTAAATATGGTTTTATTGATTTTGAGTTTTCTCATGGCAGTTAGACTATAGGGGACAAACTAGGGGACTTTACTTGACACCGTCGGTTATTTACAAAAAAAAACACCTAAATAAATATACTTGTTATTGTGCTTCTGTCTTTCTGTGCCTTTTACTCTGCTCCATAAACTCCCTCACCGCTCGCTCTCTTTTCTTGATCGCCCTCTCACATACGGGAGAACCCTTCACTATCCCGCTTTATTGTAGGATTTCTGCCACTTCTCTACCACTTTAGTTTGACCATCTCTGTTATTAAGTAACTTAAATAAATAAGCAATTAGATACCTTACCGTTACTGCGCTCATAAAGAATGATAAGAATTAGAATAATGCGTATTGAACTGGTTTAATTAATTAGTGAGTTTATTTAAGGTGATTAGCTAGAAGCCCTATTTTATCAGTAGGCCTATGTCTGCACAGCAGTTACAGTGGTCAAACTACATTAAAACAGAATTGTCCCCATTTTTTCTTTAATAGTTACTAACATTAGATGTTAAAAATGTGCCTGAATAACGAATTTAGCAGTTGGACATAAAAGTCAACTGAGTGTCACTTGCAATGAGAGTGTTGTGTTTTTATTTCATGAACCTTTTACATTAAAAAATGTTAGAATTTTTTTATGTTTTTTTTCGGGGGGGAGGCCCTTTTTCCAGTTTAGAGCAATAGCCTCTCCAAATGTCTGTGCACGTCTCTGGTATGAAGTCACGTTACCTTACATTTGTCAATAATACATTCTAGAAGATCAATTCTCTTAAATGTAGTCATTTTTGTCAAACATTAGTATTTTTTTCTACCCTCCTCTTGTCTAACAGGAACACATACCTACATCTGTCATATCCTCTTTTCTCAGGTGTATCTTTTCATTCCTGTGACCTTCGTTCTGGGCTGTGTCTTCATGATCTTGGTGTCCTTCTGGGCGGCTCCCTTTGAGTGCCTGATAGGCACCGGCATTATTCTCACAGGCATCCCGGCGTACCTACTGGGCTACAAGTGGAAAAAACCCCATGTGATCAGGAAGATGTCGGGTGAGTGAGAGATGTGTTTTTTGTAATACAGTCTTTGTGTATTTGTTCAGGCAAGGCTGGAGAAGCTTCCATTACTGTTTGTTGTGAAATTCATGTGAGAATATTTGCTCGAGTGCAGCTGTGGGCACTGATACATTTGTTTTGTTTGTATAATCTGTGTGAAGAACTCCAACAAAGGTGTTAATCTAATGTTTAATACAAATCTGACAATATTCAACCTGCAGTAACCTAGCAAGAGAAAACAGCTGATGTGATGAGTTGTTTCTCCTCAGAAATCTTCACCATGTTCTGTCAGAAGATCTTCATGGCTGTTCCTGAGGAGAGGGAGCAGCATGAGGCGGCTGAATAACGCTGGACACACTGAACTACATGAAGGACTGACTGTCAATATTATCATCTGAACATCCTTCATATGTTTACATTCATTCGCTTGTGATTTGGCTGAAGCAGTTTTGTTGTGAAACTTGAACTATCCAGGCAGGGAGCTGTGGAACACATTTGTAATGTGCAAGTGCAGGCTGGAAAATGACAGAGTGTTTACGTATGCTCTTATTTAGCCTTCAGAGTAAAACAACATCTTTTGATTACACTGCAAAATTGGAAAAATATATGTCAGACTCTGACATTTCCCACTTGCCTTTCCTCTAAATGTGAAAGTATTTCCTAAAATGCTAGAACAGGAATGCATTTTGCATGTTAGAAAGTGAATGGAGAGCTGAGTAAGTGTTGCAGACACATAATTTAATGCGTGCGTTTGAAGCTCCAAACAATTCACTCTGGTGGCCTAAAACTCATTTTAAAAAGACTAACAATCAAACTACACATATTTTTTGTATACAGTTATATAGACTATAAAAACTAACAAGTTAACAGTACATACTTTCTTCTAGTGGACTGTTTGCAGTAAAAAGACCTTTCCTTAGAAACGTATAACAAACAGTATACAAATAGGGTCAGGGTTGGAAGAGGAAATCATTAACAAGCATAGCACTGATTACATTATACTCATACTAATATTTGTTTTAATGATTCCAATATTTGTATGTTTTTGTATTCATTTGATAAATGAAGTCACAGCACCATGTAAAAGCGCAAGCTAAAGTGAGTTACAACTGTGTATATGTCATGTTTCCTGGAGATGTGTTGCTGTGAAGTAGGTCTGTTTGCCCGAGTCAGCGTTCTATACTGTACTGTATGTGACAATATTTGATGAAATGACTGTGGATACCAGCAGCTGTGGCATTATAAGAAACTAATGACCTGCATAGATGTCATTTTGGTTGTATTTAAAAAGCACCATTGTAGGTTTTGTGTTTTGTATTGCTTGTATCTATGATCTGTGTCAGTGCTGATATTCCATTTGTTATGTTTTATTGTTACTATAAGACCAGAATGAATGTTGCAAATTAAGTGACACCAGTTTTGCCTTTATATTTTACTGATAAATTCTTACTTTTTAACTGAATATTTGAGGTTTTCCCAAAGTTATTGAAAGCACTTTTCAAGTCTATTTAAGATGCCAGAGGAAAATATATGGAGGTTTTGTTAGTTGGGAAAAGCTTATAATAGAGATTCCACTTTAACTTCACAAAGTCTGGGTTTTGCCATTACATCTACCAAAATTGTTAATAATAATTCATTCTGATTGAAGACTCCCAACAAAAAGTTATGTGCCATTCCTCCAAAATACATTTTAGGTAAAGCTTTCGGAAATAGTCTCCAACATTTTAATTGACAGATACAATGTGGTGTTTCTCCTCAAAGATCATTGTGTTAGTAAATGGAATTTGGAGCAAGGCAGCACAACAAAGTGGACATATATCAATTGAAATAAAAAAAATACCACCATGGATATACATCATCATACATAAAGGTAGAAGGAAGAACGTGTAGACTGCTAGAGCTAAAGAAAAGTTGATGGGAAAGTTTATTGAACATTTGGGAACATGATGCACCTTTTCCACTACACAATTTATCAATGTTTAACTGTTAGATAGCTATGAGCACAACAGTAAACAGCACAATAGTTAAATAATTAATTATGTATGTGCCCTTTATTACAATCTATGAAACACATATTTTATCATTGATTGAATGAAAAAATTGTTTATAAAGACCACATCATATATTTCATGTCATGCAAAACATACTGTATCCCGACGTACAAAGTGGTACTCTTTGTATAAGTAAATAAGTCCTTTAAATGTATAAACCTAATGCAAATGTTATGGAGAAAAGACTAGTGTAGCACATTTTGTATCTAAAAAATGTCATTTGTTGCGAGTGTTGTATGTCAGTGACCTTGGCGGGTGCCTGTAACAATAAAAATATTTTTGTTCAAAGTTGTTGGTGTTTTGTTGAGCTGAAATGAAAGTTTCCTAAGAAGGTTCTTCACTGTTGCGTAAATGAAGAGCCCTTATAAACTTGCATCAGTTAACAACAAGGCCAGCCCCAGCCCAGAACTATAGGTTACTTACGTAACCCCAGTTCTCAGAGTAACATGAAGTGAGATGTCTCACTATGGGATGCGCCTCAACGCGTATGCAAATAGAAGCATCAATCTCATTACGCCAATCCTGATTGGCTGGTGATCTTGACGTCTACGTCAGGGAATCCACCCACCCTTTAAGTAGCTTGCGCTACGATGCAGCGTCATTAAAAAATAAGCACCTCTTCTCGCTTCGCCTTAGCAAGAAGGGCCGTCTGGTGAGACATCTCACTTCATGTTACTCTGAGAACTGGGGTTACGTAAGTAACCTATAGTTCTCATTCATAACACTCCGTTCGATGTCTCACTATGGGATATTGTAGCTCCCGTATTGCCAGACATGCTTATCACGAAAATCACCAAAACAACCAGAACTTAACAGGTAGAACCCTGTCTCAACACGGGGCCCAGCACTGCACGGGCCACACTTGGAGCAGAGACATCTAGCCTGTAAAAGCGGACAAAAGTGAGCGGTGAGGACCAGCTCGCTGCTGCACAAATGTCTTGGATGGAAACACCCTTGAACAAAGCCCAGGATGTAGCCAGTCCACGAGTAGAATGAGCACGCAGGCCCGTTGGTGCCTGCAAACCCTGACTCGTATAAGCCAGAGCAATCGCTTCCACAATCCAGTGGGAGAGCCGTTGCCCTTATGAGGGTTAGCCCAGGATACAAAGAGTTGGTCATTGCATCAAAACTCTTTTGACCTGTCCATATAGGTGCATAAAGCACGGACTGGGCACAGCAAATTCGGCCGCTGTTCCTCAGAGGAACACAGTGGCGGAGGAAATGCCTCAATGGGGGTACATGAGCCAACCACCTTAGGTACAAAGGCAGGGTTGGGCTTCAGCAACACTCTCGTTTGCCCCGGGGCAAACTGAGTGCATGAAGGATGTACAGAGAGCGCATGAATGTCACTGACTCGCTTGACAGATGCCAGAGCCAGTAACAACACTGTTTTCAGTGACAGGTGTTTCATGTCAGCTTCTTCCAGGGGTTCAAATGGAGGTCGAGTGAGCCCATCTAAAACCACTGCCAAGTCCCATAAGGGCACCAGTGACCTGGAAACAGGGAGGAGCCTGTGAGCCCCTTTCATAAAACGGCAGACCAAAGGATGTTGGCTAGCCGTCTTTCCCTCAAAGCACATGGCATGCAGCAATAGCAGCCAGGTACACTTTGATCGTAGAGAAAGCTCTGTGTAGGACAGTACCCATAGGCACGTACTAGAAAAGTCGGGTGCAGCCAGTGGCGCAGTGCCATTACGCATTTCATAGTGTAGTGACCATCACTCTCCGCGCGCCATGACGCACGGGGTCCAGTCTGAAGGCAGCTACCCAGCGCTGAAACTCCCTGATGTGTAAGCGTCCCAGTCGTACCACCAGGATGGCTGACGCCATGAGCCCCAGTAACCGCAGACATGATCTGAAGAGAACATATTTGCGTGGCTGGAAATGAGCGAGGCAAGCCCTGAAGGCTTTCACTCTCTCTGCTGACAGTCGGGCTGTAAAGGGCACCGAATTCAGGCGTAGGCCGGGGAAGAGTACAGTCTGGGCTGGGGACAACATGCTCTTTTCTGTGTTTATTACGAAACCCAGGTCGAGCAGGTGTTTTACGAGGACATTCGTCTGCGTAATAGCCTCTTGCTCCGAGAAGGAGCCAATCGTCCAGATAAGTTGCCAGGCGAATACCCTGTTGTCTTAACGGGCTATCGCGGCTTCCTTACATCGTACAAACACTCGTGGGCTGAGAGACAGACCGAAGGGAAGTACTCTGTACTCGTAACAGACACCCTGAAAGGCGAACCTCAGATATTTCCTGTGTGGATAATATACTGGGATGTGGAAATACGCGTCTTTCAGGTCGACTGATGTGAACCAATCGTTTTGGCTCACGAGACGCAACAGAGATGTGTGAGTGAGCATTCTGAATTTGTATCTTTTGAGATATTTGTTCAGAGCCCTCAAATCTAGTATAGGCCGAATCCCGTTCCCTCCCCGTTTGGGAACGAGGAAATACTTGGAATAAAAGCCGCTCTGACTCTGTTCGGAGGGTATTATAGATATAGCCTTCTTGTCTAGTAGCAAGAGGATCTCTTGCTCTAGAATATGGGCCGACTCTCCCCGGGCTTGCGAATGCAGAATGTCCGAAAAGTGAGGGGGGGTGACAGCGAATTGGAGTCTGTAACCCTGTGTTATTGTCTTGAAAACCCAAGCAGAATCTGTGAGCATCCTCCACTGTTCGCTTCTCAAAGCGAGTGGAGATGTCACATCTCTGTCGTCTGCCCTCTGTGTCTTTATTTGTTGTGTTATGGGGCCCTCTAGTGTCTGAACACGATGGTACCCCAGGTTGACAACCCCGACTCTCCTGAACCACCATTATCCCCAGTGCTTTGCCCGTGGCTTGGACTGCACAGCGCTACACATGGAGGCAAATGTCCGTGATCGCTGCGATTTCGTCCCACACGGCAGGCTCAGGTTTGATCGTCATGTCCTCGCAGAGCTCCGCCTGGTAGGCGGTCAGCAGCGAGGAGACGTTGAGACCCCTGGCGGACAAAGCTGCAGCTTTATAGGCTCGTTCGGTCATTGCTGACTGGAAGTGGTCTGCCGGTAGCGTGGGGTTCCTGCTCGGTGCCGAAGCCAGCCGCGGTTGGAGGTGGGCTGCCACCAGCGGTTCCATGGGCGGCATGGGGAGCAGGCCGAGCTTCTCCATGTCGACACAGTCCAAAGACGAGACACCCTGGATTGGGGCCTTATTGCTGAAAGGGCAGTCTCTCCATGAGAACGACACCTCGTCCAGCATCTCTGGAAAGACTGGGAGAAGCTGTCGTGCTCATCCGAGTCGGATAAGAGGAACTCAGAGGCATCCTCTTCATCCTCCTCCATATAATCCAGCTGTAGGACATCCTCCGCGGGTGGAACCACGGTGAGGTCCAGTTGGGAGCCCCAGCCTGACACGGCGCGGCGCCCCAATTCCGCAGCTACCACCGTTGTTGAGCCCCAGCCTGACACAGCGCGGGGCTCAATCTCCGCGGCGGTCGCCACCATGTCCCGATTGCCGACCGGCGAATCAACGGACATGAAGGGGTCCCGTCCCGACAGGCTAGCTTGGCGCGCTAGCCGTCGGCGGAGGCTCTTGATGGTGAAGCGGGCACAATGCCCGCACGAACCGGGGGTATCGATAGCTTCCTGGCCGTGTTCCAGCCCAAGGCAGGACGAGCAGACCTGGTGTGAGTCCGTGCCCGAGATCCTAAACCCGCAGCCGCAGAGCCAAGCCTCCGACTCCTCTGGTGTGAGGGAGAGAAGGGTCCATCCTCGTTTGCCCAAGCTAGTAACAGGTATGTTACAGAAAAATATCCAACCTTATCGTTATTCCGAAACGAAAAAACGACGGGGTAGATTTTTCTTTAAAAAATATTAACTGGTGTGTTAATATCTTTCTTATCTCCGTCTCCTCTGGTGTGAGGGAGAGAAGAGTCCGTCCCCGCTCGCCGTGGTGTCGGCGCGGAGGGATAAACTAGCAACAGGTATGTTACTGTTTGAAGAAAAAATCAAACCTTACCGTTATTTCGAAAGAAAAAACGGCGGGGCAGATTACAATATTAACTGGTGTGTTAATATTTGTTCAATTCTTCTGCAAAGCAACAAAGTAACCGGCAAGCGCCCGTCGACCGAATGTTAGCTTGGGTTCAGTCTGTGGACCGTTAAGCTAGCCCGGCTACTGATATTCGAGATCTGCTCTGAAGCGAGAAGAGGTGTTTGAATGACGCTGCGTCGTAGCGCAAGCTACTTAAAGGGTGGGTGGATTCCCTGACGTTGACGTCAAGATCACCAGCCAATCAGGATTGGCGTAATGAGATTGATGCTTCTGTTTGCATACGCGTTGAGGCGCATCCCATAGTGAGACATCGAACGGAGTGTTATGAATGAGAACAAGCAATCCCACGACACGAGAGAGCCTTTAAACAAATGGGGATGTTTCACAAGCATGATTTTAGTCAGAATGTCGTAAAGCAGCTGTATCATCTCAGCCATCAAGTGTTTGGGTAGTGATCTGTATGAAATGCTCTGTCCTCTGTTGTATGTCGTGTCTTGTTTATATGCTTTCAGACAATGGTGCTGCCAATGCCTGTGCTGTAAGGAGAGTTCATTTCCGTTTGAAAAGGAAATGAGATAGTAGCAGTACTGATAGAGACAATATTAGAGATGGCAGATTGGACAGGCAAGGAGCTAATATTGCTCAAATGACGTATAGTGTATTTTGATACCTTCTGCAAAAATTAACGGCATCAAAAAGAGAATTGACTTGGAATACCAAACTATGGCAGTTTTTATGGCATGCTAAAATATGCAATTGGAAGTAGTATGTTGAAAAATCTGAAAAAAACGACACAGTATAATGTACAAAATCTGAAAAATGTCAAAGTAGGCTACAGTATGTCGAAAATATCAGAAAAAAGTGACAATGTAGTATGAAAAAAAGAAATAGTATAGTATGTCGAAAAATGTCATAGTATAATATGTCGAAAATATAAAAAATGTCTTAGTATAGAAAAAAGTCATAGTATTGTAGCGACCCTGCATAGGATGTCCAGGGTGTCACTCAGGCATCCCCCGTCTCTCTGCCAATCATAGAGCTGCACAGTGATGCTGGTTGAGGTGCGGGCCTGTGGTTGGGGGAGCGGACGGGGGAGGGCGGGGAGTTGTGACGTAGACACTGCTATATATATATGTGTAGGGGTAGGAGTTAGGTTAGTGTGAGGTAGAACCCAGAAAGTGTACATGTACCTGTGATCATCTGTAAAGAACAAGAGTTATTAAAGCCTAATAACGAGAAGCCTGTTTCCGACTCACCTTGTGAAC